CACTGAGTCATTCAGGCCCTGCTCGGTGTTTGGATTTCCCGACTCTGGTCCAGCCCCAAGCCTTGCCTAAGCGGGTCCCACCCAGCGGACTTTTGCTTGTGTTTTGTTGCTGTTTGTGAGGCTGGGCACGGAACTCAGGCCTTGTGTGTGTCAGGCAAGCCTTCAACCACGAACCACAGGTCCATCCACGTAGCTCAGGCTGACCCCAGCATCTAAGTGTGGGGACTGAGGACTCGCACAACCACACCTGGCTCAGAGGACTTCAGAGCAAGCGTTGGGTGCATAGGGTCTGAGGTCGGCTGTGGCAAGGCTGATGCTCCCGCACAGGAGGAAGGAAGCTGAATTAGGCTGCTAAGGGACTCCTTTTAATAAACTTGATCTGTCAAAACTTTGCCTAGAATGTCACCTTTGGAAATTGAGCCCTGTGTGGCTTCCCTGTGTCAACCTCGCTCGTCTTCTCCTGATTGTCTCTCATTTCCTCTGAATTTGGAGAAATCTTTCTGTTTTCCTATTCCAGAAACTGTACCAGGTATGGACACTTGACAGACATGTTTATGGAGTGGGGGAAAGATGGCCTTTAAAGAAAGAGAGGGTCGGAAACAACTTCCTGTTTGCAGTGTTCCTGGGGAACTAGAGACCTCAGTGAGATGGAACCCGGACCCTGTGCAGGCTAAGTAAGCATTAAACCACTGATCTATAGAAGAGCCCACGGTCTGCCTCTCTTCCCTCCCTCCCTCCCTCCCTCCCTCCCTCCCTCCCTCCCTCCTTTCTTTCTGAAACAATTTTTAGATAGGATTATACCATATTGTCTAGGTTGACCTCAAATTCATCATAATCCTCCCGCTCCCAAATACCGGGATTTGTCTGTGGCGCCACGCCCATTTAAACTACATGTCTACTTTTGAGAGTCATTCACTCGAAAGGTCCCCCTGTGTGACACAGGCTGGTCTGGAACTTGCTCTTAACTCAGGATAGTCTTTACACGTGTGATTTTCCATCCTGGTCTCCCAAGTATAGCCTTGGGTCACCACATACATAAAAAATAACTCTATTTATTTACTTGTGTGTGTGTGTGTGTGTGTGTGTGTGTGTGTGTGTGTGTGTAGGTCAGAGGACAACTTGCTTGTGTCACTTTTCTCCTACCATGGATGGAACTTAGTCACCAGGGATGGCAGCAGTCCCCTTTTACTGCTGAGCCGTCTCTCTGGTCCCTCCAGTGCACATCGCTCTGTTAGAGTGTGGTTAAACCTACAGAGGGAGGCTCTTTACCCCGGCAAGGGCTCGTCACTTCCTGCTCACCTCATCTCACCTGGGTGAGCCCGGAGACTGGCCTATACTGTCTAGCTTTGTGTAAAGAGGGTATTTGTACAACAACAAAATTGCCTGATGATGCATTTCTCAGTGTGCTGTGTTAATTGATAATTGTATAATTGTATCGCTACACACCCACCAGAGTGGCCGAACTTACACAGGCAACTGAAAACCGGTGAAGCCATGGAGGAGAAGCAAGAACACACACCCTTCTGATGGCTCTAAATTGGTGCAATCACGTAGGAAGCCAGTTTGGCCTTATTAGTGGAAGTTGAAAGTGTCTGGGCTCAGTTAGAAGACAGCTTGCTCAGCATGCACAAATGTCCTCCCTCCACAACCTCCATCCCAACCTCAGGAAGTAGAGGTAGGAGGATCATAAATTCAAGGCACACAGAGTTGGAAGCTAGCCTGGGCTACGTGAGACCCTGCTTCAAGACAAAACCAAAACCCAAACCACCAAGGCAGCAACAACAAACAGTACAGATGTATTTCAATGTCGTGAGCTCGCCATTCCACTCCTGAGCACGACCTGGATGTTCCAGGAGGGTGTACAAGTGTGCCCAGTCCTACACTGATTGTAGAAGGGCCAAGAAAATTCCGAGCGTGATAATGCACGTGGCCATTCATAGTAATATTTATGGGATAGAGAACTTATGTCAGTGCGGCCGTGGGGACCGAAGAGCAGTCCACAACACCACAGTGACTCTTAGGAAGCCCCCCAAAGACCGGAACAAAACCTTCACTCTGCCTGATTTTCACATACGTGTGATGACAGCGAAAGATGTGTTTCGCATTTCTGGCTGTAAGGTTTAAAAGCAGCATGGATGCTGTATGGGATCCATAGCTAGAGGTTAAAGGGTCAGTAACAGGGAGGGCTTGGCCTGGATCAGCTCTAGGACTGGCGATCCTGGGGCCTGCTCCTCCCATCTTCTCTGCCTTTCAGCATTCTTTCTACTGACCCTGCAGCTTTCTCGGCTGTCCTCAACCCTGCCTGGGTCTGCTCAGCTGCCCTAGAGGCTCTTCCTGCTTCCTTCTCTGAATCCTCCAGCTTCTCCATTCTTTGAGCCTCAGTGGATTTACACCTTGGTGGAGATCCTTGGAATCTTAACCACAGGCCTCCGATGGAATTCATTCCTTCCTCGAACCAACCTTACTCTGGATGTCCTTGCTAAACGAAAGGAATCTCTGACATCCTGGGCCAGACAGCTTCACTTTCCACTGCCACAACACCAAGTGCCCTTGCTGTTGTTACATTCATGCCATGAGCCAGCCACGTTTTTTCACAAATACGTGTGTGTTACGCGTACTTTTTTATATTTGTGCATTGGACTTTCTCAACAGTCCCGGCACATGTAGCATTCTGATCCCATCTAACAGGAAAACTGGAAGTTCAGCGGGAGAACCCTTCACACCCTGTCCCCACCTTGAGTCTTCACCCTGGAGCGGTTCATTCCTTGTCAGTCCCGGAGACTGCAGTACCCACGCCCTGTGTGTGTGGCCTGGCCTCCTCCCTGGAGCCCCACTCACAAGTCTCCTTCAGTGTGGTCACAAGATGTATCTTTAAATCAATGGAGATTTCCTCTTGAGCACTTTAGCTCATAGAGACCTCATCATCCGGTGTCACTGGCCTCCTCAATGTCCTGTGCTCCTGCCCACCTCCCCTGCCCTCATCATCCGGTGTCACCAGCCTCCTCAATGTCCTGTGCTCCTGCCCACCTCCCCTGCCCTCATCATCCGGTGTCACCAGCCTCCTCAATGTCCTGTGCTCCTGCCCACCTCCCCTGCCCTCATCATCCGGTGTCACCAGCCTCCTCAATGTCCTGAGCTCCTGCCCACCTCCATGGCAGACTTGCAATCCTCATACGCCCCAGACAGCTCTTTGCCTCTGACGCTCCACTGACCCCCTTCCTGCTCCTCAGATGGCCCCACCTGAAGTCCTCACGTCCTCTACCGTGCCCTCGTGGCTCCCAGGAGGTTCAGCTCCAACTTTGCCCTCATTTTCATGTCGTTCTCTTCTGTTGCATCTTTCTGGAGGTACTGCCCAGCTCTGCTTCTTGAGGGCAAAAGCTATGGCCGTCTGCTTGAGCTAGCCTTCCTTCTTAGTGCTGGCCATATTTGGGGGGCGGGGAGCTAATGGTTTTGCCTAGTAAATACAGGTGTACAAAAAGCCCCCAAACCCTGGTAAAACAAACTTGGGAAGGAGTAATTTGAATTCTGTTTGCCAGGGATGGTGTCTGTGCTGTGAGAGAACAGGAAGGATTAAAAAAAAAAATGGAGCCCCCAGTGCACATTCTGTCTCCAGCTGCTGGTGACACAGACCTTCTGCAGAGCCCTTCTGCTTAAATCACTGCTACGTTCACTCTGACTGTATCCTGCACCAACCTTGTTTTCTTCTGAATGGCAGCTCCCATGTTTAAAGCCCCTTCCCTTTGTGCTTATGCCAGTGACGCCTATGAATGTGTCCTACTGAGGGTTCTGAGGGAAGAGCAGACAGTCTCTACATGCGGCCCACGGATTTCCCTCCCACACACACTCAGGGATGAGACCCGAGCCAGTCCACCAGCGGAGAAGTCCGCATAAAGAAACACCAAAACACAACGCTTATCTTCCATTAACTGGCCATCTAGTTCTTGTCGCTGCAATGATCTACCGTCCCTAAAGCCCTGCCCCTAGTCTTTTCTGGTTGCTTCTACGGTACACAGCCACGGGATAAAACGGTACACGGCCCCGGAGTTCGCACACCACTCCTGTAGACGCTTCACCTCTTTTCTTCTGGGACACCGTGCATGTCAAAATTAAAATACTAATACAAGCTATATTCTTTCCCCTCTTCGAACCAACCTGTCTTTTATCAGTTTAATTTGCAGGCCTCCTCCTACCTATAAACCATGGGATGGGCGGCATCGTGACTATTGACAATCAGATCAGGGCTTCCGGAACTTACAGGAACTTGGCGGAGGAAGAGAGCAGGCTCATGCCAACAAGCACGCTTGCTTCCCCCATATTGTGCTAGCTCCAAAAGTGTATTCTGCTCGTGAGGTGACCGTGGAGCCCAAGGATTACTGAGTCCTGCTCAGGTAGGCTTCCTGTCTTTCAAAGCTCTCGGTGCCCAGTGCCAAATAAGGAGGACTCAAGCCCAGGTTCCCAGGAGGCAGAGCATTGAAGCAAGCTCAGGGACTGGCCTCACTCCCTGGCCACCTGTGGCACCCAGCCCCGAGACTAGGAGTATTAATCACTCAGTTCTTGGCTGAGGACACAGATTTGCGTAAGTAGGCTGTTCTGGGCAGGCTCCTGGGCTACATTCCACCCGGGCTCAGGACCCATTCACGTTTCTGCTACCTCCCCTGAGGTCTGAGGCCCCTGCTCTTCCCCTGTCCAGATCTTGGGGGGAGGATCCTAAGGGTAAATCCCGAAGCTTGGTGAGTCCAGGGGCGAAAAGGGAGGAGGGTGGCCCTTGTTTCCCCAGTGACGAGAGCAGTCCAGATCAGCAGGAGACCTTGAGAGAGAGACACTTCAGGTTTACCAACCTAGAGGAGTCCAAGTCGGGGGTGGGGGAAATAAAGGGCTTAAAGCGTACCCATTACAGAATTAACATTCTCGCTGTGGCTCAGGGAGTCCACGGCTCCTGTTACTGAACTTGCCAGACATGAAGACAGCAGGTTCCCTGGTCCCCCTTCAGCCCTGCTCACCTGGAAGGCTGCATTGCTGCGTCCTTGGTTGCCCGGGGCTGTTGGCCTCAGCTCCAAGCTCACTTCGGGGCCACTGGGCTCAGCATTCTTTCCCTGTTCTGACCTGGACATCCTCTGCCTGAGAGTGAACACTGCCTCTGCTATGCCACGGGGCCACCTGCTGCCGCCTCAGTTTGGAAACCCTTCCAGCAACCTTTTAAATGATTTGAACTGGAACCTGGTTGGGGTGGGGCAGGCGGGGCGGGCAGGAGGGCGGGGTGAAGCCTCTCTTTGAGCACGCCCACCCCCTTCCTCTTTCCAGGGATGCCCAGCATTGACTTTCCATCACAAACGGGAACCTCCGTTTACTCTGTAGCCCTTTGCAAAATCGTCTACTTCCTGTGGATGGCGTTGGGGCCTAGGCAGGTGTTGCTGCATCAATGCCAGGCACTCAGGCACGTGATAGGTACACTATCAAGAAAGACAGTAAAAGGATGAGGAGAATCAGGTGCAGGTCTGGCCTGGAAATTTTTTCACTGCCCCCTGCTTCGGAATGAGGATTTCAAAACCCCAAGAACAGAAATGCAGAGGTGTTGCCACCTGTGTGGAAGGGGACTGACTGTTCCCTCCCTGATAATACCCTTCCTGGTGTTTTAAATGAACCACTCACTGTATAGCTTCTTCCTCTTTCTTTTCCCTTTTCCTTTTCTGATTCTTCTCCTCCTCCTCCATTAGTCTTTTTTTTTTTTTGTTTTGTTTTGTTTTTTCTTTCAAGACAGGGTTTCTCTATAGCTTTGGAGTCTGTCCAAGCCTGTCCTGGAACTAGATCTTGTAGACCAGGTTGGCCTTGAACTCACAGAGATCACTGGCCTCTGTCCAGTGCTGGGATTAAAGGCGTGCACCACCACCGCCCAGCTTCCTCCATTACTCTTATCGTGTAGTTTCTCGTGAGTGACCACCGGGCACACACCTTTAATCCCAGCACTTGGGAGGCAGAGGCAGGCGGATCTCTGTGAGTGCAAGGCCAGCCTGGTCTACAGAGCGAGTTCCAGCACAGGCACCAAAGCTATAAAGAGAAACCCTGTCTTGAAAAAGCAAAATAAAAATAAAATTTAATACTGGGAGCCGGGTGGTGGTGGCGCATGCCTTTAATCCCAGCACTTGGGAGGCAGAGGCAAGCGGATCTCTGTGAGTTCGAGACCAGCCTGGTCTACAGAGCTAGTTTCAGGACAGGCTCCAAAGCCGCAGAGAAACCCTGTCTCAAAAAACAAAAAACAAAACAAAACAAAAAAAATTTAATACTGGGAGACAGTGTACATAAGAATTGGAGAGAAACTCTTCCTAGAGGCCGTAAATAGATGGAGTTTTATGAATTGTTGCTAAATTGTCCTTTGCATGTTGCTGGTTTTTCTAAGTGGCTTTTATTTTCACTGATAGACCCTAGATAATGCTTAGGGGATCATCCGAACTTATTGTGTGCTTCAGTTCCTGGCTGCCCCTTTCTCAAGTCACCAAACTGCAGTTTAAGAGCTAAATTTAACTTACTGTCCATTTTCAGATGGTCTAAGAGTTAAGGGTGTGTTTTAATCATTGAATAATTGAAAAATAGTTAAAGGGAAGAATATTTCACTATTTTTATTTTAAATCAATTTTTTAGACTTGAACACCAAGTACTGGGCTTTACCCTTGCACCCTTATATGCATGTGTCCTAGGGTGTCCTGGTTGATTGCTGGCGTGGTTTGAATGTAACTAGCCCCCATAATCTCATAGGGAGTGGCACTATTAGGAGGTGTGGCTTTGTTGGAGTGGGTGTGGCCTTGTTGGAGGAAGTATGTCACTGTGGGGTAGGCTTTGAGGTTTCCTATGCTCAGGATACTGCCCCAGTGTCTCAGTAAACTTCCTAATGCCTACAAGGTGTAGGACTCTCACGATGTTCCTGCAGCACCATGTCTGCCTACACGCCGCCTTGATCCCCACCTTGATGAGAATGGACCAAACCTTTGGAACTGTAAGGGAGCCCCCTCGATTAAATATTTTCTTTAATAAGAGTTGCCATGATCATGGTGTCTCTCATAACAATAAAAACCCTAACTAAGACAGTTACCCTCCCCCCAAGGCCTCATTGCGCCATCCACCCTCCAGCTGACTGCTGTCCTTTCTCCAGTTAGCTTTCTCTTGAATTTTCTATTACATATAGGGAAGAATATTTTATGACACATGAAAGTCATATGAGATTCTAATTTTAAGCTGGGTGTGGCAGCATACTCTTGTAGCCTTGGCGTTGGGAGGCAGAGACAGGGTAGCTGCAAGCTTGTGGCCAACATGGTCTGGACAGCGCATTTCAGCTCAGCCAGAGTCGGTAGTAAAACCATCTTAGGAGAAAAAAAGGAGCAGGAAGATGGGAGAGTTGATCAAAGTACTTTAGGCTAAGTCTAAGGACCCCGCTTAGGTCTTGGGGATGTTGGAAGAAGAGAAACAACCCTTGAAAACTGTCTTCTGACCCATCACCCTGGTTCTCAGACTCCTTCCCCCCTCAATAATGGAGTCTTTTTAAAAACTAAAATTGAAGTGTCCAAAATCGTTCGCCTGGAACCCAAGCATGCCCGTTTGCTGCACTGTTTAGGGTTGCTGTATGACAACAGCAGTCAGGTGACTGATGGCTGACATTCTTGCAACTCTCTGTTAAATGCGACAGTCCTGACGTTAGGTTTGTAACACAGTGGTAGGACTTTTGGACAGTGAGCAAAATGCCCTGGGTTCAATCCCCAGTCGGAGCAGTAGGCCATAATACAGTGTGTTCTCTGCTCATTGGCTAAAGACATGATACATGGATATGTCTGAGCCTATCCTCTGGCAATAGAGAGGAGTGTACAGTTTGATTATAAAATACAGCGCACTGGATATAGTGGGGCACACCAGAGAGATGGTAGAGAGGACTGTGAGTTCACGATCAAATGGGGCTGTGTCCCAAGACCTTATCTCACCCCCTGATACACACAGTGATCACCGCTTCTCATTCCCAACCACACCATGAAAACTTGCAACCTGAGGAAGGGGCATATACAACCATGACCCTAGCATGCTTCAAATGGTCCCGTCCAGATGACAGGTTATCTCATATGCAATCTGGAGCCTGTGCAGATTTAACTCAGAACTGATGGGAGCCCATTGTTGAAACCAGTGCTGATTGGGTTTCTGGGGGTATCACCTGAGAGGGGTGCCTTGCTGTGAGCGAGTGTGGCTTGTTTTTCTCACTCTGAAAACAAGCCGTGCAATTGGAAAAAGAGATGGAAGTCTTCCCAGTTTTCTAGGAGTGTTTATTCCTGCTTGGTTAGGAATAGCTGCGTCTCTCAACCCCTTGGACGGTTTTCATCTCAGAGTCCTCCAACCTCATTTTTTTGTTTGTTTGAGTTTTTTGTTTGTTTGTTTTTGAGATTGGGTTTCTTTGTGCAGCTTGGGCTGTCCTGGAACTCTCTCTGTAGACCAGGCTGGCCTCAGAGATCTGCCTGCCTCTGTCTCCCGAGTGCTGGGACTAAAGGCATGCACTGCCATCACCAGGTAGCCCAATCTCATTTTTAAACCTTGAAAGCACCATGTAGTAACCAAACCAGTGGATATTTTTTTAACCAGTGGGCTTTTTAATCAATCGATAACTATGCCCTTTGCCTCACGATGGCTGAGGATCCCTGTGTGTGTCCACCGAAACCAACCTTTGCACTGGAAGCACAAAAACAAACCCAGAGAACACACTCTTCTTCCTGCCCTTGTCACTCTGTGACCAAGTCACTCTTTGTGAAGGCGTTTTCAAAAGAAAAAATAAAGTAAGGCTACTGTGTGTAACATGTGTGCCGTGAAGAGGGGGGGGGGGCGTCAGGGCTGCATTGCGGCCATATTTGCCTCTGCTGTTCTCGGGTCTCCTCACCTGGCACACACCATCAGGATGTGCAGGATGAAGAACCTTATTAACAGTAATATCGACGCTGAAGTTAGAATAAAATGCACCGGGTGTGTTGGTACATGCCCGTGACCCACACATTCGGGAAGCCGAAGCAGGAAGATCATGAGTTCTGAGACTAAACTGGGCTTCACAGTGAGATTTTGTCTCAAAAACAGTACTCCCGCATGGTTTATAAAATGCATAACCTCACCCACTTTAAATTTCCAGGTTACCCAGCGGCTGAGGTGTCGTTATTTGGGGATAAAGCTGCTTGGATGTGTAGAGAATGTGCTGGCATGTATGAGGCTGTGCCTTCAGCCTCTAGCCGACAACCAACCAACCAACCAACCAACCAACCAACAAAAAACAACTTTGAGAGAAAAGGAAATACATATTTTAGACTGGACCACCTCCAGGCTTTGCTCAGCAGCAGAGTCAACGCATCTGGGTTTCCCTGCTCACTGCACACGCTGCCACCAGGTCCCAGGAGTGGCAGCAGAGTGCTCGTGCTGGTAGAGCCCTGCCAATGCCTTTGGCACTGGAATGAGGCCTGTCTGTGTGGCTTATTTGGCTGTTTGAGTCTAACTTTTTTAGAATCCCAAAAAGGACAGTTTTGGAGCAAGCAAGGGAAGAAGATGAGGAACATACACTGAGCCGTTAGGCACCCCTCCAAACCAAGAAGACAATGGGAGTCTCTAGAGGGCCAGGCCAACAAGTCACAAAGTCAGAATTTGGGCTCACGTCTCTGACATCTTCATAGGCGCCACAAAGAAGTAGTGTCTAAAGGAAGTAAAAGACGGTCCCAAGTTCCCCCAGCGTAGGAAGCAAACTGTATACTCAGCATGGCAGATGAGCAGTGGTAAATAAAACCCGGAAACAACAGACCTGCCAGGGAGGCTGAGTCTGGCTTACCCACGCACTTTGAAACCCTCACCTGCTTGGTGTTTAGTCAAAGCACAAGGCGCCACTAGCCAGCTCGGTCCCCCAGAAATGAATGCTTGGAGTGTGGGCAACAGAGGCACAGGGGGCAGAAATCACATCTGAGATCCCTGCTCTGCCTGCAGAACTTTGAGAGTTCTAGAAATGGGTGGGCTCTGTGATAAAGAACTTACTCACTGAACAAATGTGAGGGAAGAAGGGACAAGGAACTCTAGGGACTGAGGGGAAGCTCGGTAGTGGGGATCCCTCTTTCCCACCTTCCTAATCTGCCTTTCATGTTTGTGTGTTTGTTTGTTGAG